CAAAAAATCTTAATTAGATGATCATCATTATGTGTTTGTACTATGTTTGTAATCAGACTGATAATAGATACCCCAATATGTCATGTTCCTACTGAACTGAAGATCTCACTTAACTTCAGCTTATCTTTGTTTCAGATGACTTTTAGATATGTGTATGACTTTCATTAATTATTCAGGTTTGTTGTCAAACTAAAACTTGACAAAGCTATAAAAAATTTACAAAATACTACATGTATTTGGATTTTGTTCAATATTTTTATAGTTATTGTGATAAAAGTAAGATTATTGTTTTTGATATACAATCTCCTCCAATAAGTATAATAAGTATTTAAAATCGATTTTTTTATACTTTTCAAAATACATATTAAATATTATTTAAATCCACTAGAATATAGGAATATCGATTTTGTTTCAGCTATATTTTTTATCTTTATTGTTTATGTATTCAAGTGATATTGATAGATATTTCCATTTTTGTAAAATCACTTAGAATTTTTGACGTAAAACGTAGAAGTTTTGTTTTGTTTCAACTTATTTTAAAAAAATTTGCAGCTCTTGAACGAGGAAAAATTCTTTGGATATCTGTAGCTGGTGCCAGTGTGGTACAATTAGCGATACTTTGAATATTCATAAGGAACAATTTATCACACAGTTAATCATTTCAAACCATCCAACTACAGAAAAAGTGCCGAGTAAAGTTTTCAAAAAAAGAATGGAAATCTTAATTACACTTCAAATTTATATTAATTTAATGTCTAGAAGAATTGCAATATGTATTGATACATGTAAACATTTCGTTATCATTACACTTGAACCTCAGATATTGGTCATGCGATTCCATGACTGATCTAGGAATATTCATTAGCATTAGCGTTAGTTATTATTATTAGTTATTTAAAATGGATTTAACAAACGGAAATTAGTTATATAATGAACTCACTCTTTTCTTAAAGCACGTAATATATTTAATAAAATTTAATTCTTCAATAGAAATCCATTTGCACATCTGAAAAATTCTAATGGCTCATAGATAAAATCAGCGGAAGAATAAATTATTTAACTTGAAATTCAAAAATAAATTATCGTATCTTACCAAATTATATTTAAGCTTTTTTTTCTATATCTGAGCTGGGCAAAATTCCTATTGCTTCGATGATGTGACACCTATAAAATGTTGCTTTAAGCATAATGGCAATGTTTGTTTGGTGTATATTTCCTTAGTGAAGATATAAAAATTTTTTCAAGTTTGAAGACTAAGCTTTCAGAATTTTATGAGCACAGCTCGAGCACTCTAGCCACATCAATTTTGTGCACCATTTTTTTAAATGATTATATCATCCGATAAAAAAGACTATTTTAAAAACTCATCATATTTCAATGAAATTAGATCAAATGTGTGATTGCATTTTCCAGATTGAATTCATACATTGAAAGTTTTATTTTAGCAAATATACATATACTTTTCCAATTTAGCCCCTTTTTAAATGGAGAACAGGTAATTTTTAGTGCTTATCAGCATTTTACTTTTTTTTAAAAAAAGGCTGTGGAAAAAAATGAAAAAAGAACTTGTTGAAAGAAAGTAAACATCTTCAAGTGATTGAAACACAAGTTAATGCGGAAAGTAATGGTGATATAAAAAGATGATGCTTGGATAATCTTATCTCTTTTTAATATTATGTAAATAAAATAAGTACGTAATATTTTATTACTTTAGTCTTAAAAATGCGAAGCAAAGTTCTTTTAAATTATAAATTAAGCTTCCTTTTCTGACTCTACTTTTAACTTTTTCTTTTTGATAATTATTTAATTTTATTTTAGATAATCAAATATTAATTACCCTTTATCAATATTTTTTCTCTGGATTCTAATAAATAATTTGAATATTTGAATAAATAAACATGACAATTGTAGATATTCGGAATAAAGAATGTTCGTTGAAATTGGTTCATTTTTTTCTTGATTGAATAGAAAATATGCATGATCATAATAAATCGAGGTACGAGTACACAGCAGATATCTCTAAGTAGAACATTTGCACAAAGAAAAAGACCTCTTTTAATCGAAAACCACCACCTAGTCGAAATTAACGCCTGACACAGAGAGTCAACTTAAAGAGGTTTATTGTGTATATAAAATTGAAATGGTAGTATCGTTATTCTAAAGCAATGATTTCCAAAACATGTTTTGATATGATGATATGATTGCAATGATTCATACAAAAACATAATATCTATTTAATAACTGTTTCATAAGAGTCAAACTAGTAAATTACTGTATTGCTAATAAACATTGAAAAAAGAATTTATGATAGCAACAATAATTCAAATAAATGTAAAAATACTCTAGTGAAGCAAATGACAAAAAAATACTTTTTGTATTTGTTGTGCATTGACGGTTACAATCTATAATTATTCTTTAACTTCACGTGAAATTTGAAATACTTCATATTCATCTACTTGAAAATTATATGAAAATGCTACTTCCTTGGAATGTTGAGTGTCATAATACCAACTCAAATCATTTTTATTACATTGATCGCTGATGTATAAAGTGTCGGCGATAAAGGGACCAGCATTAGCATGATGAGGGTTGTATAGTATTTTATTTCCTATCTTGCGTAAAATTTTCGCGCTTTGAAGATCACTTCTATCACCGAAGGAAAATGTAAATGCATCAGGTACATTGTGATAACGATAATTCAATTTACGAACGTCATAATAGCTACTATTAATATCTCCACACCAATTGCTAGGATTATAGCTGCCAATAATTTTTTTAGTTTTGCTTATTTCCACGATTACCACAGTTCCTTTTTGAGATCCAGAAAGCTCACGGAATTTCGTAGCTTCAAAACCATCACGGCTACCGCAATAAAGGAGTTTGAATCTATATCGAGACTTGTGAGATCCGCTAGAAACATCGGTGATAACTTTTTTATCAATCCAAGATGAAATCAACTTAGTGTGTGTAATATTAATAATGTTCGAGTCAATTGGACTAGATCGCGGAGGTAAAAGTTTAAAGAGTTGCGAAGTCGAATTGGTAAGATGATAACTCAAAATTTCTGTTTTCATATCCTTCGGGATAATTTTCCGATAAGGCATTACTTTTTCAAAGTAATCATTGCCTGAGATATCAATGTATCGGATCAATGGAATGCATTGATGAAGGGTTTTTTCTAGAGCTGCAAAATCTTGAGGCGTCCATTTTGATACAGGTTGATTGCTTAAATTCAGAGTATTTTCCGTACCCCATTTGATAAGTGAATTCCAGATTTCAATTTCATTCATGACTAGGCTATCACGTTCAAGCAAAGACACAAGCATTGGTTCTTCCAAAGATAAAAAATCACTAGATCTGAAAATCATATGAGCCTCTTCGCTGATTATTTTAAGACAGTACTCATTTAATCTTTTGAATGATTTGTAAAGCGAAACGATATGCATAATCTTTACAAGATTTTGCTGAATCCAGTTTGACTTTTTTATAATTAAATTATCTTGTGCATGATGAATTAATTCATAGATTTCTAGTTCATCTGCAGCAACAAGTAAACTCAAGACATCTTGTCCGCTTTCTTTATTGAGATCTATCATGCTCGTATATAAATACCTATATACATTAAATTAAGTAAATAATTAAGAAATATTAAATAAATGAAATAAAATCATGCACATACTTGAGTATAATTTCAAAAATTTGCGATGAAATATTTGGTTTCTTAAAAACCATCGTTCGATCTTCTTTCTCTGCCCGGACCTTTGGTAGCACACGACGAAAATAGCGAGAACGTGCACGCAGAATGAGAGAGTGCGCCTGAAATTTTTTCACGTTTTTATTTTTATCTGCAATGATACTAATATTATATTCGTCCGAGTTTTCTAAAAGCTCGGCCAAATCTTTAATCAGACTTCTTGCAAGTTCAGACATAATTTTTGTGAATGACGATAACAATAATGATAATTAAGTTGAAAAATGAAAGTGGAATAAGATACATGTATTGTGTTGCAAATCAGGTTTTTGGTATTGTATATCAAATAGAGAAAGTACGATTTTCTTACTAATTTTAAACAATTATATTCTTCAATAATACTATCGTTGTCCATGATTATAATCTCTTTACCAATACGTCGAACTATATCGATATATTTATCGTTTTTATTTTACTTAATCTTTGTTTATCGCGTACTTTTGCAAAATCGTCATCGCTCACTGTTATTATGCATATTAATATAGCAACAAACTATAAACATTAGACTACCGTTTAGCACAGTATATAATATCCAGGATCTTATTAAAAAATTGTAGTTCATAAATTGAATAGTACCCGTGGATATTGTGTATGGAACCGGGTATTATATTTGGAGTAATATATATTCTACAAATGATATTATATTTAGGGATTATATTGTGTAGAGGATTTTGCAGTGTCTACATAATCATGGGGATACTATATACAGTGCTAAAACGGTATTACAGTGCTCATATATAATGAGAATGCTGTTTTTCCTTCTAGTGCTATGAAAAAATCAGAAATATATGAAATTAGCAGATATAATGCATAAAATCTAAAGTCATCAAACGTTTGTATTTTATAAAATGGATAAAATTCTTAGTAAGAAGTTTATCCATTTTATAAAATACAAACGTTTGATGACTTTAGATTTTATGCACCATAGACACCTCTACCAAAATGATATTAGGTAATAAATGTCAGCGCCTTTACATATTTTTTGAAAATTTTTACTAATGGAATGGATGATTTCGTTATATTGGGTTTCACTGTGTACGAGATTTTTTCACATACATGTATTTATTATTTCAACTCAAATTTATTTAATCATTAAATTCTTTCTAAAATTGCTTCTTTTTATGTGTATTCAGAGTATATAGTAAAAATTCCTTCTTATACAATATAACTTTTAACGTTAAATACAGTCATTTACGTAAAACATTAGGCTAGAAATTCATGAGTAACATAGAAATACATGTATTCAATTATTTTCTATAAACTCCTATTGGAAATCCAAAAAAAAAGCATAGTAAAACATAGTAAAAATTGAAAATTTCTCTATAATGAAATTTCAATATTTACTATGCTTTACTATGCTTTTTTGGATTTCCAGAATTCATTGTGGGTGTATGTTTTTTATTTAATTATAGTCTGTCATCTAAAGCAAAAAAAATCTATATAATAAAAGGGCTTCTTTAATGTATCAAATAGATGTGAACTAGGCGTCTTTTCATACATAACAATCGGTGCTTATAGAGTTATTAATGAAGCCGGAGTGCTCCATTAACAACCCTAGTGCTTAACATACAGTGCAGATCACTTAGTTACCACAATTGGCCAAATCTTTAAGACCTATTAACTCAACAATCTGAACTTTTCCAGTCAAAAAAATAGTGATATTATAGAGTAGTCAATAAACTATTTATTTACGTATTTTCTAATTTTTCTGAATTATTTTGAGGACTCTGATATAATTTGAAGTTAATTTTTTGTGTGATAACTAAGTGACCCGCACTGTATATCAAACGCGTGTTGAAGTGTGTGTGTGCGGTTATCAAGAAATGATTATTAAAAGTTTTATCAGATACGTTGATGAATTACACATTACAATATTTTCTTAAAATCATACTCATTGCGAGTCGATGACAAGCTCCACAACCAGTGTTGTCAACTGGACCATACTGGACATAGTCCAATACTGCGCTATTGGACTTAGTAATTTTATAAGTTCAATATGGTCCAGTCCAGCTCTGGACATAGTAAAGTGACAACGCTGTCCACAGTATCGACACAAACAATCCATGAAGATTTAATATACTAGCATTAACACAGAAATTAACATACCGCTATGAAATAATAAAGCTCAATATTAAGTAAACAATATACAGAATTTTATTAGAATATGAATATTAGTCAAATATAACAGGTTATTATATCATCAAATTATCGTTGGTCTAGTTTAGCTAACTATTAAATGTAAAAATGAGACTACTACATGTACTTGAAAAAAGTTAATAAATTATTTACTATTTACGACGAATAGATTTTTGTAGTTAATTTCTTTATTTTGCATTAATAAAGTGCATATACTCATTAAGCCATACGATATTATAAGGTGTTTTTTCATGAAAGGCATTTACTTCAACTATTACATTCAAGTTTCGTCAACTTTATATGTCCAATTGGTCTAATTGCTGACATTGGTTTGAATAATGTTGAATTGCTTAGCGTTAACGTAGGAAAAAAAGTATCTGTAGTTAATAAAATCTTTATCGTTATCATTATCGTTGTTTATCCAATACATGTACGTACATGTACATGTATAGTACATAACAGTAACACTAAAAAATTTGTGACACTACGTATCCTTATACCCAATACAGAAAAAAAACCAAGAACTGATACTATATGGTGCGTAACATCTATAGTCATCAAACAATTTTGTATAACTTCTAAATATATCTAGTCTTCCAATTTGGGTAATATTTAAAATATAAACTGTGAAAATAATAATTTTAGTGATGCTCTTTCAGATTTATGGTTTAGTTTTTTTAATTATTTAGTATTTTGTAAAGTTATTTAAGTTTAAAAATGATCACTTTTATTAATGAATTTTTATTTTCGGATATCGATCAGTCTATTTTAGACCATCAGCAATTAGATATCGATCATTTAAGTCACATGAGTCAGAAAACTATACTGAGTCACTTGATTCTGTGATCACGTGTTCATGTGATCCCACAGCTTCCCGTTCCCTTTACGATTAAAATTCGCTGAATTCCCCAAATTAGTAACAGCCAGTCATAGTGTCAGCTAAAGCATCATGATACATGATGAAAGTGCAAAGGGAATTGCAATGAATCTAACTATGTTAATTATTTATAAAGCTCTTTATTATTCATCAAAAAACTTGCGAGTATGTATATTGAATTTTAAGAATTGGAGAAAAGAGAGGATAGAATAGTTTTTAAAATAGAAATAATATAAAGCATCTTTTAATAATGTAAATGCATCTTTTAATTATGTGAATGCATAATTTAATAATATAAATACATCTGTAATAATAAAATATTTAATAATAAAAATGCATCAAAATAGTTGTATTATTTACATCAATAAAATTCAGCTCTCTGTCTTTGAATTCTTCAATATTTTGATCACTACTGCTTCCTTCATCTTCTTCACTATTCATCCTGCCATCACCTTCGGATTTACCAATTTCAACATCAGGATTTTCATACACCAATAATTAAGATAAAATAGAAAATCTTGTACTAATACACTATCATAAACTTTAAAATATCTTAAGTCTCTTTCTTTAAATTTGGAGTTTCCATTCATTTGATTTGCTTGTGAGAGATAGAAGCATCTTGTGCTGATACACATTCACATCTTTGCAAATTATTAATATAATGATATAACTTTGATTGCACAATATTATTGCAATATCATTCAAATATCAATTATGTGTTGAATTAATAAGCTCATGAATGCATAAAAAATTTTTTTGAATTTGTAAAAAATTGATTGATTAAATAATAGAAAATGCCTCTTGCTCCAAAAAGAAAAAGAAAGTATAAAGATCAAATTAGAGAAATAAATGGCAAGTATAAGTCAAAAAAAGTGAAACATACAATTATGACTTATAGTTAATTAGAGACAAGTGAAAGAGAGTGATGTGATAATGAATTAGAAGCAAGTGAAAGTGAGTGAGGCGATAATAATAATAATGGATGGAATGATCCAGAGGATATAGAAGCTGAAATTAAGCTCCATTGAAGATTAAAAGAACTTGACTTAATATGGAGAAATGATAGCTAATTAGAAAGAATGAAGTGAGGATCATATATAATAAGCAAAATATTAAAGTTAACCTATTATGATAAATATGATCCAAATGACTTATTAACTAAAGTAGCAGCTGGCGCCAAAAAAATTATGAGTTTTTTTAAGATTAGTGATATCCAAATTACTAATTCACAATTATCTAAGTCTGATATATTAGAAGATGCTTCAAGTAATTCAGAAAGTAAAATTATTAATCTGTACACTTATCAAATATCTGAAAAAATAAAAAAGTTAAAAGAGCATTTAGAAAAATATGCTCAATTAATTGTCTTTGAGTATAATAATAAAAGAGCTACCTTTAAATATCTTATCTTGTTAAATACTAATAATGACTGTTGAAGAATTGGTATCAGTTTAGAGATCACCCAAAAAATTTTTATTGATAGTGATGTGTGAAAAGCATGAAAAATTTGGAATTTTACAAAGTACTGGTTATTTAATAATAAATTTTCAGCATCTTAACATAGAAAATACCAAAAAAAATTAGAGTAATCAATAATGAAGATGTTGCAGAAAGATGTCATACTTGAATTCAAGAACAAAAATTTAATATCATACCAGTAGTATTTAAAAAATTTGTTGAGAATGAATTATTTTCTAGCATTGAAATCACCAAAGAAAAAACTATTACTTTAATAACTGTAATAAGGTGGTTTAAAATTTTTGGCTATTTATTTCAACAATATTATTGTGAAATATACTATGATGAATATAAGAAAGACAACATTCTGTGAT